GCAATGTTTGGTTCCTCCTGTTTTTTGGTTTAATAAAGTATTAGTGATTTGTTGATTTTTTTTCTATATTTGTTTATTTTTTCATTTATTCATTTATTCATCATTGTTGTTCTGATCATATTATATATACACAACCTCTGGGCCAGAAAGCGCGTTTTGCCCCCTACCCTCCCCCGCCCCCCCTCCCCACCCCCCACAACGTGCGTCCCCGGCACTGCCGCAGTGCGTGCGGCACCACAGTCTGGAGGGGGGGAGCGCTACGCTATGCCCCCTCCCGTTCCCCCCTCCCCTCCCCCCACGACGCTCGTTATGGCCGCGAGTACAACATTGCGCTCCTTCGACCCCCCTCCTCCCTGAGATCCCACGTAGCGAAACAAAAACTGCAGCATCGTGAAACATCACGCCCGGAGCCCCAGACCCTAACTTTCTGCGCCACTTTCCGAGCAGGATCGATCTGCGAGGGTCCCTGGCCCCGAAACTATCTGCGACCACGCCCGGCCCGAAAACATTGTGACGCCAGGAGCTCAGGGCTCCCCGATCCTGCTCGCTCCTCCCCGCTCTCGGCGCCACCCCAACATACTGATACTCTGTGTGCGTAGTCTCCCCTGGGGCGACGCGTGCACCGAGGAATCTTAGAGTATGCGCGTTGTGGGTGGCGCTTCCTGGCCACACCGCTCGGGAAACGGGATGCTACAAGAGGGGCATACTGTGTGCTCGGGTCGCACGCGCGCGTCCAAGGAGGACCACCTAGTATCAGCATGCCTCTGTGTGTCCCGCGCTCCTCCTCCTCCTCCTCCTCCTCCTCCTCCTCCTCCTCCTCCTCCTCCTCCTCCTCCTCCTCCTCCTCCTCCTCCTCCCCCTCCTCCCGCCGCCGCCGCGCCCCGCAGCTACGGCGCCCCCTCCGCCGGCGGGAGCTACGGTGGCGGCGGCAGCAAGCGGCCGCCCCCCGGGCCGCCGGCGTCGTCCTACCAGCCGGCGAAGCAGTCGAGGCGCGCGCTCCCTTGGTAGTCCCCAAACGTGGTGGTGACAACACCTGGCGGTGAGTCTCGGGCGATTTGGTGTCACCACCCGGTTTGGGGACTCGTGCGGTTTTCCGAGGATGTCCCGGACACTGGTGGGTCCAGGAGTCACAAAACCCGGTGGTAACCCCGCGTCCCCAAACCCAGCGGTGACCTTTTTGGGGATTCCCGGTCGCCACCTGGTATCTCACCACCCGGTTTGGGGGTTCCCAATCTCCCGCGGGCGGGCCCAGACCTCCTCGGGGGCGACGTCGGGGCGGGGGGAGTTTCCTCAATTCGGGCACGTCCCTCTGCAGGGGGTAATATTTTTGAGAGTTGTTGGAGCATCACACGGCGAGGAGTTTTTTGTGCTCTTTCCACTGTTTCTGGTAGTTCCTCGACCACTTTGAATTGTTCTTCCAAGATCTGCCTGTAGGAGGGCATGCCCGACCTGAGTATCCTGAGACCTTGGCACCTTGGCGCCTCACATTCATCGGAGCCGGGTGGTTTCGCTCTTTCTGGTCGGGCCCCACTGGGGCCCTCACATATCGATGCGGCTCGACAAGCTCCGGGGCTCGGGGCGCGATTCTTCGCGGCGTTGTGTATTTTTTCGCAGCGTCGGATCTCAGGGTCGGGGCGGGGGGAGAAGCGGGAGGGAAAAGAACACACAGACACACAATTCATCGTCGATCCCCCAGAAAATACGGGAAGATCTGGGAAGTGGGGGGGAAGACAAAACCCAGAACTATATGGGAAGTTAGAGGGGATTCTGTTGTTTGCGTGTATCTAATTGTGCGTCCCAGGGCCCCTTCAGAGAAGCCGGTCCCCGGCCCCGTGTTTCCGGCGCAGCGTGCCGCGCTATGGCGGCCCGCGCGAGTCACCGCGTGAGGCCGCTACGTCATCTCGCGTGAGGCTCGTGTCTTCTCGCAGCCCACGCGTCCTGCTTCCTCGAACCCCACCTGTGCCCCTGACCTTGTGGGGGACGATCGATGGAGAGGAAGATAGAGGGGATCCTGTTGTTTGCGCGTATTGATCTGTGCGTCCCAGGGCCCCTTCCGAGAAGGCGGACGGGCCGAGGGGGGCCTCTGCGCGTGCCGCGGTGTGTTGCTGCGCCGCAGGGGGGGGCTCTCGAGGGCGGCGGCGCGGGGAGTGCCCCGACTTTTTGTGCGGGGCCTCGTGGCGGGCCAGCGAGGAGTGGCGGCCTCCGCGGCTCCAGGGGAACAAGAAGTGCCATAAACATAAAAACTCGGAGGTCCGCGCGGATTTCTCGTATCGGCGCTGGACCCCCCTCCCTGGCGCCAGGGGCGGCGCCGGAGTCGCCGCTGGGGGCCCCAGCGCCGATCCGAGAAATCCGCGCGGACTTCCGAGTTTTTATGCTTATGCCACTTCTTGTTCCCCTGGAGCCGCCGAAGCCGCCACTCCTCGCTGGCCTCGATAGCACCTGTTCCCCCCCCCTCATCAGTTGCGCTTGCCCCCGAGGTGAGCCCATGGAACGAGCCCATCGAACGAGCCGTTTTTGTGCTCATGCCACTTTTTGTGCCCCGAGGCTCGTTGGATGGGCTCACCTCGGGGGCAGGCGCGCACAGATGAGGGGCGGGGGGGGAAACAGGTGCTATGCTCGGGCCCCCGAGGCCCCCCGTGGGGCCCCAGAGGGCCGGGCCCCTCTGTTCTGCGGCCCTGGCTGCCCCCCCCCACCCCCCAGTTGTCGCCCCCCCCATCGCCGGCCTCGGCCACAGGAGGAGCTTCGGGAGGAGGCTCGGGGGCGGCAAAGAGGGGGGTGATGACTAGGGGGGGGTGGATAACATGGCGGGGGCCGTGATATTTCCTCAGATTTCATGGCGCCTCTTCTTGCTTCGTTGCGTCCCTGGTCCCCCCGCTGGGCCGCGCACGCTCCGCCGGTCATGCTTTGCACTCCCCCCTCTTGGACACCCCCCTCTTGGCCGCTCCCGAGAAGCTCAGGCCCTGGAACTCAGGGCGTCTGACGGATCCAGGGTGACTCCTGGGCTTCAGAATGAGCGACGCCGGTCATGATTTGCTCTCCCCCCTCGTGGACACCCCCCTCTTGGCCGCTCCCGATAAGCTCAGACCCTGGAACTCGGGGCGTCTGACGGATCCAGGGTGACTCCCGGGCTTCAAAAGGAGCGACGACCAGCAGCGGGTCTCACGCGAGATGTCCCAGCGACCTCACGCGATGGCTTGCGCGGGTCGCCAGCGCGGCACGCTACCATTGGCAACGAAGACGCTTACGCTCGAGCTTAGGCGGGCAGCTCGCGTAGTTACGCGCCAATGCCGGCGCAGACAGACAGACAGATCCCGCACGGCTACGAAGCCGGTCCTGCACAGGACACGGGAAGAAAAATATCATGCAAAGCTCACATGTAACACGCCGAGACACAACGACCACACACAAGCACATACAAATACAGACAAACATGCACAGGCGACAATGCCATCTCTCAGACGCCGTCCGTCCACCCGCATGCCAGCGCAGACGACCCCGTTTTTTTGCGCCGCTCAATTGTATATCTCTTAGGGGGCACCCTGGCAGAACCAGGCGATCTCTTGATTCGCGCCCCCACGGTGCCGCTGCCACCTGGGGGCCTTCACCCCAAAGGAACCAGAGCGTCTCAGTCCTGGTGGACCTCGTCCGACTATCAGTCCTGGATGGGCCCTCCTCCTCCCCACCCTTCCTCCCCCTCCTGCCCCTCCTCCTCCAGCCTCCTCCTCCTCCTCCCTCGTTCCCCTCTCCTCCTCCTCTCCTCCTCCTCCTCCTCCTCCTCCTGAGTGGCTCAGGGCGGGGGGGGGCCCCCGCCCTGAGCCACTCCCGGCCCTGGTCCGCGCGACTCTCATCCCTCGATTCGGCCCGCTGCTTCTTCTTCGTTCCCTGATCCTGTGCCCTCGTCTTCGAGGCTCTCCCGAAACCAGCTTGTCCAAGGGACTCGTGAAGAGCGCGGGTTTTAACAGGGGGGTAAACATCGTCCTGGAACGGGTGATGTATCTCAGGAGGGAAAGAGACACACAGACACAATTAATCCTCGATCCCCCAGAAAATATGGGAAAACATGGGAAGTGGGGGGGAAGACAGACACCCCGAAGATATAGGAAAAATGGGGAATCTGTTTTTTTGTGTGTATTTATTTGTGTGTCCTGGGGCCCCTTCAGCATCGCCGATCGATCGGCGGTAAAGCACCTGGGAGCGACGCCGCACGGCCCCGGGCCCACAGCGAGATCCCGAGCGACGGAGGGCACGGGGCCCGCTTGCCCACTGCTCTCCGCGCCAGGGCCGCGCGTGCGCGCTCGCCTCCCCGCGCGGTGTGTGCCACGTCGGCGCCACCGCGCTAAAGGGGGGGACTGGGAAAGGGGGGGTTACGAAATTTGCTGCATGCAGCTGGTTTCGGCCCCACCGAGGGGCCCATCCCTCGATACATAGCCGCCTCCGGCGCCGGGAGGCGCCGGGAAAATCAGCTACGTGAGCTGGTTCTCAACCCCCCCCTTTACTATCTCCCCCTTTCGCACGACCCGACACGACGGCGCCACCGCGCAAGTCGGCGGCGAGAGGGTGCCTCTCGTGCGAGGCGGCGGCGAGCGAGGGGTGGAAGCGAGAAGGAGGAGGCCTGCTCAGAGAAGGCCCGGGTCCCCCCCCGCCCTGGCCTTCCGTGCAGCTGTCTGAGCCCTCCCCGAGGACGAAGAAGAAGGCTTCTCAGAGGGCGCGGGGGCTTCTGGGAAGTCCCGCCTTCTCCTTCTGAGAAGGCCTTCTCCTTCTGACTTCCCCCCTCGCTCGCCGCCGAGTGCAGTCAACCCGCATAGGAAGGATGGGCAGTCTTCCCCATGGGTACCCTCGCATCCTTGCCTCCTCGGTCCATCCCTGGCCTCTTTCGCTGGCCGCGCCCCGCTCGCAAAGCTTCGAAATGGGCGTCCGAGGCCCTTGCATCCTCGTCGCGCATCCTTGCTGCACGGGTTGACCGGAGGACCCGCTTTTGCTCATCGCTCCACTGTGCTGCAAGAGCCGTGGCCGGTGCCACTCCGGGCTGCGCTGCGCCCGGGCTTCTCTGGGATCCCCTGGCACCGCTCGGAAGTGTGCATTTTTTTCTCTTCCTCCTCCTCCTCCTCCTCCTCCTCCTCCTCCTCCTCCTCCTCCTCCTCCTCCTCCTCCTCCTCCTCCTCCTCCTCCTCCTCCTCCTCCTCCCCCTCTCCCTCTCCCTCCTCCTCCTCCTCCTCCTCCTCCTCCTTCTCGAGGACCCTGGAGGAGCATCCTGGACCATCGAGCAACAAAACGCACGCGCGGAACCGAGGAGTGCACGGGGAGGGAACCGTCCGAGCGATGGCGAGGTCCCGGGCGCGCGGCGTCCAGAAGTGCCGACCCCATGGGGGGGCGGCCTGGGCCTGCTCCGCTTTGGGGGGGAGGGGAGGGAGGGAGGGAGGAGGGGGAGGAGGGGAGGAGGGAGGAGGGGAGGAGGGAGGAGGGGAGGGGAGGGGAGGAGGAGGAGGGGAGGGGAGGGGAGGAGAGGGGGGGGAGAGAGTGGATGAGGGTGGGGATGGGGATGGGGATGGGCACTGTGCATTGGACATCTGGCAGTCGGGGGTGATCGGGCTGCTGCTGCTGATGCTGCTGCTGAAGATGAAGATGGATATGAAGATGAAGATGCTGATGCTGATGCTGCTGATGATGAGGATGAGGATGATGATGACGACGCTGATGCTGCTGATGATGCTGATGCTGATGCCGATGATGCCGATGCTTATGATGATGTTGAGGATGCTGCTGCTGATAATGACGATGATGATGCTGATGATGCTGATGACGCTGATGATGCTGGTGATGCTGATTATGTGGATGCTACTGATGTTGATGATGCTGCTAATGCTGGTGATGCTGATGCTGGTGATGATGCTGATGATGACGATGATGGTGATGATGATGCTGAGCATGATGATGACGATGATGATGCTTATGATGATTATGATGATGCTGATGATGATGCTGATGATGATGGTGCCGATGATGGCGATGATGATGATGATGATGATGATGATGATGATGATGATGATGATGATGATGGTGATGATGATTATGATGATGATGATGGTGATGGTGACGATGATGCTGATGAGGAGGAGGAGGGTGCGGATGATGGTGATGATGATGATGATGATGATGATTATGACGGAGATGGTGATGGTGATGGCGACGACGATGATGCAGATGATGATTATTCGTCTGATGATGCTGATGATGATGCTGATTATTATCTGGATGACGATGCTGGATGATGATGGTGCTGAGGAGGAGGATGATCATGATGATGTCGCTGATGATGATGCTGCTGATTATCATTACGATCATGGCGATGACGAGGATGCTTATGCTGATGATGATGATGCTGATGATGATGATGATGATGATGATGATGATGCTGATGGTGACGATGATGGCGATGATGATGCTGGTGACGATGATGATGATGCTGGTGATGGTGATGGTGATGCTGATGATGACGACGATGATGATCTGATGATGCTGATGATGATGATGCTGAGATGATGATGATGCTGCTGATGACGGTGAGTGTGATGATGATGATGTTGATGCTGATGGTGATGACGATGATGATGATGATGATGATGATGATGATGATGATGATGATGATGCGGACCATGGTGATGATGATGATGTTGTGATGATGATGCTGATGCTGATGATGCTGATGATGATGCTGATGATGCTGCTGATGCTGCTGCTGATGATGATGATGATGAGGATGGTGATGATGATGCTGATGATGGTGGTGGTGGTTGTGGTGATGATGATGCTGATGATGATGATATGATGGTGATGATCATGATGATGATGATGATGATGATGATGATGATGATGATGATGATGACGATGATGCTGATGCTGATGCTGATGCTGATGGTGATGCTGCTGCTGCTGCTGCTGACGATGATGATGATGATGATGATGATGATGATGATGATGATGATGATGATGATCATGATGATTAGGATGATGACGATGATGACGATGATGACGATGATGATAATGATGAAGATGATGATGATGATGATGATGATGATGATGATGATGATGATGATGATGATGATGATGATGATGATGATGATGATGATGATGATGATGATTACGTTGATTACGATGACGATGTTGGATGATGGTGATGATGAGGAGGAGAGGAACAGGAGGAGGAGGAGGAGGAGGAGGAGGAGGAGGAGAGGAGGGGGGAGGAGGGAGAGGAGGAGGGAGGAGGAGGATGAGGAGGAGGAGGAGGAGGATGATGATGATGAGGAGGAGGAGGAGGAGGAGGAGGAGGAGGAGGAGGAGGTGGAGGACCAGTGAAAACCACGAGTCATCAACGATATTGCAATAAAACCTTCCTCCAAGTTCCCTTGTATTATGTCCCTGAAGGAAGTGCTCCGTGGCAAGACAACCGTTTGAAAATCCGGAACTGTTCCAGAAAACCATTCTGGGGATTTCGACGCCGCGGGTCCCCGTTACTGGTGCGTCTTGCGGATCTTGAATCGTGCCAGAACACAATTTCTGGGACTTCAACACCACGAATCAACGCAACTTTTGCGCACTGACAGTCTGACATCGTGCCACACCATCCCTTTTTGGATATTAGCAATGTGAATCCTTGAAACTTCTGTAAGCTCTTGAAAACGAATTTGCGCGGCATTGAGGCGAGAACCACGTTTTGAAAATCAACCGCCCTCCATCCCTGAAACTGTCACACGATGAGCAACAAGTGTGAGCGACGCTAAAACGAGAACCACATTCTGAAAACGACGCGCCCTCCATCCGTGAATTTCATGCAAACCTTACAAACGGATGTGCGCGGCGCTGACGCGAAAACCACATTTTGAAAACCATTCGCTCTCCATCCGACAAATGTGCATGGTGCTAACTAAGGCGAGAACCACCTTTTGAAAACCACCCGCCCTCCATCTGTCAAACTGTTGCAAATGGTAAGCTTCAGGATCATAAGTGGCCAGGAAGTCTTTGGCGCAACGCCCGGCCCGCCCTTTCGACCGGCCTCGGGGTGCGGCATGGAGGAGGTATTCATCAGGGGAAGAACTGGAGGACAAGGAGGAGGAGGAGGAGGAACAGGAGGAGAGGGAGGAGGAGGAAGTGGGAGGAGGCGGAGGACGAGGAGGAGGAGGAGGAGGAGAAGGAGGAGGAGGAGGAGCAGAGGAGGAGGAGGAGGAGGAAGAGGAGGAGGAGGAGGATGCCAGGAGGAGGAGGCGGAGGAGGAGGAGGGGAGGAGGACGAGGAGTCAGAGAAGGAGAGGAGGAAGAGGAGGAGGAGGACGAGGAGGAGGAGGAAGATGAGGAGGAGGAGAGGAGGAGGAGGAGGAGGAGGAGGAGGACCAGGAGGAGGAGGAGGAGGAGGAGGAGGAGGAGGAGGAGAGGAGGAGGAGGAGGTGAAGGCGAAGGCAAAATCTCTGCCGCGGCGCAGGTACGAGACGCCCCGCGGAGGGCCGCCCCCTCGGACAGGCGCGCGCGCGCGCCGCGGCCGCCGCCGCCGCCGCGCCTCCCGAGGGCTTTACGGATGTCGCCGGATTTTGACAGACGTTTTCGGCACGAGGAGAAGGAGGAGGAGGAGGAGGAGGAGGAGGAAGGGAAGGAGGAGGAGGAGGAGGAGGAGGAGGAGGAGGACATAAGCTGTTGACGTCGGGGCTCAAGAGACGGGGGTCGATGCAAACGGGGGTCAGCCAGAGTGCCAGATCTTGCAGGACCCTGCGGAGAAAGGGGTGCACTGACCCGGGCTTTTGCGTGCAGGATCCTGCAGACACCGGGACCAGGGTGTTGCGCTGTTTCCGGCCCCCACAGGCCTTCGGCCGGTCCCAGGAGCGTCAGAAAACCATTCAGGATGAGAATCAGGAGGGAAAGAAACACACAGACACAATTAATCGTTGACTCCCAGGAAAATATGGGAAAATATGGGAAGTGGGGGGAAGACAAAACCTATAAAATACAGGAAAACATGGGGAATCCTGTTATTTGTGTGTATTTATTTGTGTGTCCCAGGGCCCCTTCAGAGAAGCCGGTCCCCAGGAGTTGGTGAAGGCTTGCCTGGGCCCCGTGTTTCCGGCGCAGCGTGCCGCGCTATGGCGGCCCGCGCGAGTCACCGCGTGAGGCCGCTACGTCATCTCGCGTGAGGCTCGTGTCTTCTCGTAGCCCACGCGTCCTACTTCCTCGAACCCCACCTGTGCCCCTGACCTTGTGGAGGACGATCAATGGAGATGAAGCATGTTGCCAAGTAATTTCCAAATGTCCAAAAACATGTGTTCAACATGTCTCAAACATGAAAGAAACACATGCTCAACACATGTTTAGAACATTTTCCGGCATTTCAAACACATGTTAAACTCAATGATAGGACTGTGAGGGTGTCCATTGTCGTGGCATCCACAACCCTAACCCCCACCAGTCGGCCCCCGAGACACGCCTCGGCCCAGCAGCGGTCGCGTGCCGGCGTTTCGACGCTGGCCTGTTCGGATCCCTCCCCGTCCCCGGCGGAGCCCTCACCCATGCCGCCGACTGGCGGGAGCGTAGAGGCCACGGGGGCGCTCTCATTCCTCGGATCGAGGGCGCTGGGGTCCGAGTTGTGCCCATCTCATCCTCCCCCCCTCTGCACGCTGCGCTCGCCAAGACGTTCCAGACACGCTCCTCCCCCCCCCCCGACTTCTGCGCGCTGCCCCTCGTCGGGCGGCCTCCAACCGTGCGCGCCAAGGAGTGTGGCCCCGAGGGCGAGGAGGATGAGGGAGGGGAGAAGGAGAAGGACGAGGATGGAGAGGAACAAGAGAAGGAGAAGGATAATAATGATGCTGCTGACGATGCTACTGCTGCTGCTGACGATGATGACGATGATGATGATGATGATGATGATGATGATGATGATGATGATGATGATGATGATGCTGATGATGATGATGATGCTGATGCTGATGCTGATGATGATGTTGCTGACGATGCTGATGATGATGACGATGATGAGGAGGATGAGGATGATGAGGCTGCCGATTTTGATGATGATGATGATGATGATGATCCTGATGCTGCTGCTGATGATGCTGATGCTGATGATGCGGATGATGACGATGATGATATTGCTGATGCTGATACTAATGCTGATGATGATGCTGCTGCTGATGATGATGATGCGGGTGCCGATGATGACGATAATGCTGATGCTGATTCTGCTGATGCTGGTGGCGACTGATGATGATGCTGATGCTGCTGATGATGATGGTACTGATGATGCTGCTGATGATGCTGCTGATGTTGATGCTGTCGATGATGATGGTGATGCTGCCGATAATGATAATACTATATACAAATGTTCATGATGCTGCTGCTGCTGCTCATGATGCTGATGCTGATGATGATGCTGATTCGTCTGATGATGCTGATGATGATGAGTAGTCTGATGATGATGATGATGGTGATGCTGGTGATGCTGGTGAGTTAGATGATGCTGATGATGCTGCTGATGATGCTGATGATGCTGATGATGAGTCAGAAGATGATGATGATGCTGATGATGCTGATGCTGGTGCTGATTCTGATAATTATGATTCTGATGATGCAGCTGCTGATGATGATGATGATGATGTTGATGATGATGCTGATGATGATGATGCTCTTGATGATGATGAGGATGATGGTGATGGTGATGAAGCTGATGATGATGATGATGGTCATGGTGATGGTGATGGTGATGGCGATTCTGATGATGATGATGATGATGATGATGTTAGTGTTGTTGATGATGATGATGATGATGCTGATGCTGATGATGATGATGCTGATGATAATGGTGGTGGTGATGATGATGCTGCTGCTGCTGCTGATGATGATGATGATGATGATGATGATGATGATGATGATGAAGATGAAGATGATGATGATGATGATGATGATGATGATGATGATGATGATGATGATGATGATGATGATGATGATGATGATGATGATGATGATGATGCTGATGATGATGATGATGATGATGATGATGATGATGATGATGATGATGATGATGATGATGATGATGATGATGATGATGATGATCGGTGGGTATGGGGTCTGGATGTCGCCACCTGGCGCTGCCACGCCCGGATATAAGAGCCCCCAGGCGTCCTCCCAGTCCGCGGCCCCGGAGGTCCCGACCCCTTCCCCGCTGCTGCTGCTGCGCCCCGGATCCGCTGCCCCCCTGATGGCCCTGCAGAGCCCGAAAATTCGGGGGCCGGCCGAGGCCGAGGACCCAGAGGTCCAACGCATTGAAAAAATCAAGACGGAGGTTTCTCTTAATTTTGGGCCTTGAGGGGCCCTCGCCGGGCCCCGGGACCGTCAAACAACGACTCAGGATGACAAACCGGTCCTGGGGAACGGGTCGAGACTTCGGGCGACCGCGTATTGAAAAAAACACGACATCGGAGCTTTGGGGAGTGTCCGCCCGGGACCAGAGACGGCGTGTCCTCGGAGGTTTGGGTCCTTGCGCGTCTCCTACTCTGACGCGTCGATGAAGGAATTGGCCGTTTTCGGTTTGCGAGGGGGCGTCGCGGCCGTCATTTTTGCGGGTCCAGCTCCGTCGGTTTCGGTCTTGGGCCGTTTTCGCTAAATACCGCTTTGCGAAAGGGAGGTTTGTCCACCGCCGATCCTCGGCGGTCTGGGTCCTTGCGCGTGGCCAGAGGCTATCGTTTTCTCATTCCTTGTTTTGCCGATCGGCGCGGGTCCCTGCACCCCTCCCCATGAAGCAGATCCTGGCTGTTCTTGGCGCCCCTTTCGCGCAGGTGGAGGGTGGAGCCCCCCCCCCCCCCACGGACGCACTATCGCAGCCTGTCGCGCCAGGCCGAGGTCCGGAGCCAGACCCAACCCTTCCCCCCCCCCCCCCCCTTCCGCTCAATATCGAAACGCTGAATAAGAAAACGCTCCCCATCTAGGGGGGTGAAGATCGGCCATGGGGATAGGGCTCGGCTCTACGAGGCTCTCAGGACGGGCCCGCGCAACTTTTTCGGCCCCTGCGGTGGGCCCTCGCTGGGCCCCGAGACCGTCCCGAGATAGCTCGGGGAAGGAGGCCAGTCCCCCTTCCGCCCCATGTCAGGGCGGGCACGTCCCCCTACAGGAAGATTTTTTACGAGAGATGAGAGGTAGATAAGAAATGTTCGGCAATAGTCAAGAATAGTAGAAACATCGTCCCTACAGAGTATTCTTTGGCTATCTTAGCACATCCCTCCTGTAGAGGGCCGTGCCCGACTTAAGCCCAATGTCGAATCGCCGAGGCAGACGACGCTCACGAGCCCAGCGGCGGCGACCCCCCCGGGGCCCGCCGGGCGGCCGGCCAGGCGGCTACGGCGGCGGCGGCGGGGGCGGCTACCGACGGTAGCCGCGCCGCGCTCCACGCGGGGTGTCCCCGGCGCCGTGGCGCGGCGCGCCGCGCGGCGCCTCGCGCGCCGTTGGGCCGGCGGCTCGGGGGCAACGTTAAGGGGGGGGGGGGGCATTCAGAGGAGGAGGAACCAGACCCCTCCTCCTCCCTCCTCCTCCTCCTCCTCCTCCTCCTTCTCCTCCTCCTCCTCCTCCTCCTCCTCCTCCTCCTCCTCCTCCTCCTCCTCCTCCTCCTCTCGGGCCGGATGAAAGGGGGGGATTGGGAAAGGGGGGGGTACGAAATCTGGTGCATGCAGCTGATTTCGGCCCCACCGAAGGGCCCATTCTTCGATAAATGGCCGCCTCCGGCTCCGGGAGGCGCCAGGGAAATCAACTACGTGAGCTGATTCTCAAACCCGCCCTTTGCTATCCCCCCCTTTCGCCCGGCCCGACAGGAGGATCCAGAGCCCCTCGCGTAATGAAAATCTCACGACGGGAGGTGTTTCGGCAGTCTTGGCTTCGGGGTGCCCTGACCGGCCCTCGGGGCCGTCGACAAAAAGACTCGGGATGGAAAGCCGGTCCCAGGGAAGGGGTCGAGACCCCTGGGGGTCGACGTTACGAAAAAGTCATGACGTCGGGGGTCTGGGAAAGTACCGATGCCGCTGTCCTTCGTTCGTTGTCCCCTGGGCCTCCCGGGAGGCCCTCGTCGCTCCGGCTGGATTCGCCTCGAGATTCGGGTCAGAACGCACCCTAGGAGAGGTCCGGGGAGTAGCGGTATCGGTACCCCGGTGATTTCCCCGGACATCGCCATCACCCGAAGATGCTTATATTACGGTCGGGCCTGAGGTCGGTTCGGGGAGGGTGCCTTAATGTTCATCGTGCTCGCTTGATGTTTTTGTGCATTCTGGGGAGGGCGCCCTTGGATGTTGTGTTTGTGTTGGCTGGCGGAGGGTCTCATGTTCTGGAAGGGTGTTCTTCTGACGCAAGTCCGACTCTTCGGGTTGGCCCAAAAAGGGGTCCAGCGACAAGGGGGTGGTGCAATAGATTTGGTGCAATCGATTTCTGGGGTTGCAGTACATTTGGGGCGTGCAATACATTCTTGGGCGCAAATGTGTCACTGGATTTTCGCGCGCAATGCATTTGTCGCAACACAACGCAACACAATTCTCTGGCGCAGTACATTTGTATTTCAATCGCCCCAGATCTATTGCACCACCGCCTTGCAGCTGGACCCCCTTTTGGGTCATCGGGGGTGGACAGACCTCCTACCCTGACACGTCGATTAGCGAATTGACCGCTTCCGCTTCGCGAGAGGGCGTCGCGGCCGCCATCTTTGCGGGTCCATGTCCGTCGGTTTCGGTCCCAGGCCGTTTTCACTATAGGGTGGTTTACTAAAGGGAGGCTTGTCCACCGCCGAGGTCACCCCAAACTCTGCTGCCGCTATCTTCAGGAGGGGAAAAAACACACACAGACACAACTCGTCGTCGATCCCCGGGAATAAATATGGGAAACTACGGGAAGTGGGGGGGAAGACAAACACCCAGAACATCTGGGAAAATGTGGGGAATCTCGCTACCTGTGTGTGTTTCTTGGTGTGTCCCTGGGCCCCCTGGCTGTCTCTGCGCCGGCCACGCCGGGGGCGACTCGCCCGCTCGAAGGCCTCCGAGAGCAATCACCAAGGCTCCGTGGCGGGCGCTGCCTCTGGCCCCGCCGCCCGGGGAGGGACACAGTCAGCCCGCACAGGAAGGATGGGCAGCCTGCCCAAGGGATACAGTCGGGGCCCTGAAGAAGGAACCCTTCTGGTTGGGGAGGGGCTCCGCGTTCCTTAAGTGTTTCGCAGCTTGCCTTAGGTTTTCCTTATGTTTTCGATAGGAAATCGAAGTTCAGCTTATGGAAACAGGGGCCCCGTTCCTTATTTGGGATTCCTTAGGTCAACGCCCCGACTGTACCCTTGCATCCCTGCCTCCTCGGTGCATCCTTGGCCACTCTCGTTGGCCGCGCCCCGCTCGAAGACGTCGAGAGGGGCCTCCAAGGGCCTGGCCCTGCATCCTCACCGCGCATCCGTGCTGCACGGGCTGACTGTCTACACTGCAGGGTGTTTTCCCCGATCGGTGCTTGCACCGAAGGGGTCCCCGCGGCAGTGGAAAGCTCTGGCGAAGGCTTCCCGACGGCCCGAGACGGCCCAAGCGCCCCCCAAGATCGTCCAAAGATCGCCCAAGAGGCCTCCAAGATGGCCCCAGAACGGCCCCAAGAGGTCTCCAAGACGGCCCCAAGAGGCCCCCAAGACGGCCCAGGAGGCCTTTAAGACGCCCAAGATGGCCTCCAAGACGGCCCTGGAGCATTCGCCGCTCGGGGAGGGATATATATATATATATATATATATATATATATATATATATATACACACACACTGCAGGGTGCTACCCCGATCGGTGCTTGCACCGAAGTCGGAAACTGGAACATATACACTACCAGTGGCGGGTTGTTTTTTCAATCCCAAGGCTTTTTGAGGGTCGGGGACGACGTCGGGGTGGTGTGGTGTATACAGTTCCCCCGTTTTCCAAGGGAAGCAACGAAAAATGTATACACCAGGATCCCGTAGACACCAGGATCCGCGTTCCTGTGCGAATTTCGGCGCAGGGTCGGAACAAGCGTCGGTGTATAGAGCTCGTTTCCCTACGAAAGGATCCCAGCGGGAGTGGAAAGATTAGGCGAAGGTTTCCCGCCGATTTGGGCAGCAGGCTGGGTTCCCTCATCGAGCGCGCTCCACTACTCGCAAAGTGCCTACTCGCAAACGCCCGAAAACCACATCTCTGCTTCGATGTAATTCATCGTAGATCGCCCGCGGCGGATCCAGTCCATTTGCGAGTAGCTACTTTGCGAGTAGTGGAACGCGCTTGTCCATTCCCGGGTTCCCAGCTCCGGGTTCCTGGGTTCGCGGTTCTTGGTTCCAGGCCGATTTCGGTGGGTTCTGGGTTCCCGGGCTCCCCGGTTCCCGGTCAACTTCCTGAGCGAGAGCCACCCAATACCCAATGATTGGATCTTTTCTCTGGTGTAATTTTGCTGCATGTTCGCGTCACAGGCACACAGTGCTAGTGTGCCCTTCTGCGTCCCAGGAGAGGCAGGCGGGGCGGGGAGATCCCTGAGATCCGGGCGTGCAATCTTGTCTTGCCGGGCGCTTCCGCCCGCTCTCGGGACGAGGACCATTACAGATCGATCTGGCCCGAAAAATGTCGTCGAGAGATGGGGTCTATGGGGCTCGGGTCATGATTTTTCGCGATGTTGCCATTCGGATTTCAGGGCTTTCCTATGATCTCGAACGCCTGTGGAAGTTTTCGAGGCCCGGGGTTTTGGACGCCCGAAAGGGGTACGGAAAGAATGGGTACAATGCCCAACAACAAAGGTTGTCCCAAACCAACAGCGGCCGCTGCTGGGCAGGCGGCCTTCTGCCTCAAATGGACACAGGCCGCGGCGACACCGACAACGAGTCCTGTTCAGCATGAACAGGAACTGCTGTTGGGCATTGCACCCATTCTTTCCGAACCCATTCCGGGCGTCCAAAAGGGGTGGTCTCCATCGGCCGCGCCTCGTCGAGAGCGTTCTCCCTGGGTGCCCAGGGCCCCGAGCGGCCGCCGGAGACCTTGGGTCGTGATCCGAGAGCTGGAGGACGAGGACCACGGGCTCCGAGCCTCTGAGTTCAGCACGGTATGCATCGGCCGATCAGGAGGAGGAGGAGGAGGAGGAGGAGGAGGAGGAGGAGGAGGAGGAGGAGGAGGAGGAGGAGAGGAGGAGGAGGAGGAGGAGGAGGAGGAGGAGGAGAGGAGGAGGAGGAGGAGGAGGAGGAGAGGAGGAGGAGGAGGAGGAGGGGAGGAGGAGGAGGAGGAGGAGGAGGGGCCGCTCGCCCATTTCTGAATCGGCCCTGTTTCGGCCCCCCGTCGGGGGCCCCTGCTGTCGGCCATCGAGGACGGCCGACACAGGGGCCCCCGAGATTCCCCCGGCCCGCCCAGGGGCGTGCGCTTCCGCCCTCGGGCCCCGTTCCCCGTCCTCTCGGCGAAGCATCGCCGCTTCCAGCTTGCTGTCTCTGCCTGCCCTCAAGTCGGGCCTGTTCCCCTGCAGGGGGATTTTTGGCGAAAACTAGAAAATAACTCAAAAGATATTCCAACAATAGTCCAGAAATAGTCTGGGGACTATGTTTTGAGTATTTTCTGACCTTTTGGTTTATGTTTGGGGTATTTCATTTTTTTCGTCGAATCACCCCGTAGGGGGACGCGCCCGACTGAACCCTACCCTGATTACATGGTGTGCAACCCCTGGCAGGTTAGGTTCAGGACGTTGCTGGTATATCCGTGATCGAAGGACGGCCTAGTCTGGTGGTTGAATGCCGTTGCACTCCGCCGCTCAATCCCGGCGTGATCCCGCTCAATCCTGGGAATCATTTGGGCTGTAGCCTGGCTCAGTAGCCCCTTACTTGGGCTTGATCGCCCTTTCACCGTGCCTGCGAAGACCTCCCAGAAGCTGCCTCCCAGCTCCACCGAGACGGTTCTCGGGGGCGGCCAAGAGGGGGGCTGATGACTAGGGGGGGGGTGGATATCATGGCGGGGGCCATGATATCTCCCTGGATTTCATGGCGCCTCTCCTTATTTCGTTACGTCCCCGGCCCCCCCCATAGGCCGCGCACACTCCGCCGGTCATTCTAGGCCTCCTAGATGGGGTCGGAGTAGACGGGGTCGGAGGACCGCGCCGCATCGCCGATGTATCGGCGATGCGGCTCGATGAGGGGCCCGATTTTCTCCACGCCGAGGTCTCGGATGGATCGCCGACGTCGACCATGCATCGCCAGTGCATCGCCGATGCATCGCCGATGCATCGGCGAGGCGGCGCCATCCTCCGGCCCCATCTACTCCGACCCCATCTAGGAGTTGGTGGTCTCCGAACCAGGTGGTGAGACACCCGGTGGTGACCCCGATTCCCCAAAGAAATAATTCTGGGTCGCCACCGGGTTTGGGGACACGCGGTCGCCACGAGGTTTTGCGTTTCCTGGGCCAGCCAGCGCTCGAAAACCATTGCCCAAATCGCCCCAAACTCACCACCGGGTGTTCTCACCACCACGTTTGGGGACCACCAAAGGAGGCCTCTAGTCATGACTTGCGCCCCCCCCTCTTGGGCGCCTGCCTCCTGGCCGCCCCCGAGGTTCCCCCCCTGGAGCGTTCCCCCTCGGCGGTGCGGCCGCGGGCCGGCGGCACGGCCGCCCGCGGCGGCGGTGGGCTGGCGGCGGTGGGCTGGCGGGGTCGATCGAGGGGTCGAGGGTCGAGGCCGTGGGTCAGAGGCGACCACAGGGGCGCATACCCGAGGCCCGAAAACCATCACTTCACCAATTTTGGGCCCCAGGGCCCACTGAGGCGCCAGGGGCCCCAGATTAGTGAAGTGATGTGTATTCCCACGTGAGGGCCCCGAAATTCATCACTTCACTAAACCGAGCCCAGGACGAAAGTCAGGGGCCGAATTGCTGCTGTGATGCCACATCGGCCTCGTAGCATAGCTCTGGGGAGAGCAATCCATGTATTCAGTCAGGAGGGGGAAGACACACACACACACACAGACACAATGAGTCGTCGATGCCCCGGCAAAGATGGGAACCTGTGGGAAGCGCGGGGAAGACAAACACCCAGAACATATGAGAAACGATGGGGAATCCTGTTATTCGTGTGTGTATTTATTTGTGTGTCCCAGGGCCCCTTCATTCAGGTGCGCCGATGCTCTATGTCTTCGAAAAGGCTCCTGGGCGAATACGTGCAATGCCCGCCCCTGGGCTATTCGCCCCCATCGTCGCCGCCGAGCGGGGCGCTCCTCGGACTTCTGGGGCCTCTAAAGGGCCCAGACCCCCCTGGGCCACGAGGGGATCGCGGCAGGCTGTTGGCTGCTCTTGTCGGGTCGGGCGTGTCCCCCTCCTGGCGGACTTCGGACGAAACATAAAGATGAGCCCACACACATGCAAGGATCTTCAAAACGGCTAAAACGTCGTCCCCGTACTATCTTTTTGACTATTTGTCAATTTTCCGCCTGTGGAGGGACATGCCCGACTGAATACTTTTGGCCTCTGGGGGCCCTTCGGGGCCTCGGGTCCGTCAAGAAGCGGCGCAGGAGGACGAGCCAGAACCCGGGGAAGGGGTCGAGACCCCTGGGGGTCCACGTCGTGATCAACAATAGGCGGCGTCGGGGGTCTGGGTAAGGCGTTGTGAACAAGAGTGGTATTGGAGGACAGGTGGCCCGAAGGTTTTTGCTGTTTTCGGCTCGGGGCCCTCCCCGGGCCTCGGGGCTGTAAAACAGTGGCTCGTCCAGGGAGAATCCTTTGGGTCCACGACCTGGGACCACCGTCTCTCGTGCGCCAATCAAGTGCGGTCAGACCAATATCTCCAGCGTCTGGCGTTTCCCATGCGTTTTCCTACCGTGGAAAAGCTCATCATGAGGAGCCTGTAGTGGGAAAGGGGTTGAGACCCTCGGGTTGTCCACGTTGTGAGAACATCACGACGTCGGCATCTGGGTAAATCGCTGTGAACACATGTGGTACTGAAGGCAATGTGGCCCGAAGATTTTCGCTGTTTTCGGGCCAAGGTTTTTTGCCGTTTTCGGCTCGGGGCCCTCCCCAGGCACTGGGGCCCGGGAAACAGTGGCTCGGGATGAACGGCTGGTCCAGGGAGAATCCCGTGGGTCCACGACCCGGGACCACCGTCCCTCGTGCCAATCAAGTGCGGTCAGACCAATACCTCAAGCGTCTGGCGTTTCCCATGCGTTTTCCTGTGCAGTTCTCGACGCTTCGCGCATCCCCGCCAGCCCATCCCGGGACGATCCGCGGACGGGCTGCTGTCTGGGGCAGGGCAGCGAGTAAGAGCCCGAAGCCGAGGGGGGAGGCCGATCCGAGCTAAGCTTGGAATCCTTCCTAGCAGTTGGCGGCCTTTTAAAGCCCTTCTGGGGGGCATCCTGGGGGTCCATCGGCGCAAAGCGGGGCTTCTAGCCGTTGCCTCCCCCCCCTCCCTTCCCCCTTCCCAGGAGCCCGAAAAATGGTCTCTTGGCTTTCTGGCTGGGTTGGAGGCGTGAAGCAAGATAAAAGTGCCGGGCGAAGTGGAAAGGGCTGCACGAGATACAGTGGAATGCCATGCCAAGGAACGCCCTGCTTGCCTCCAGGGTGCCCTGGGTTTCTTGGGTTTCGATGGTTTCGCTGTGGAAAGCCGAACGTTCCCACACCGGCAATCAATGGACGTCCTGGGGTCTCAGGGTTGGGTCTCTTGTGGAAGCTTTCTTGTGGTCGAGCTCCTACTGTAGGAGAAGCCGGGAGGGGTGGAGGGGTTGCACGAGACGATCGACTGCGCCGCCTCGAGCGTCGTGCGAGCGGCTCCTTCTCCAGGAGCGGGAATGCCTCGCGGCTGGAGCCGTCTGCACCGCGGCACCCCAGGGATCCGCCAGGCACTGGCGCTCGACCGCGTGGCAGGGCATCGGCAGGCTTTGGTCTCCACCTATCCATGGCGAGTCTACCTCTTGCCGTTTTGGCAAAGCCTATCTCGCGGCAGCGGCATTGGGTATGACATCGGATTGCATCCATTACGAGATCGCTCGCGGAGAAAGGGCGCGCTGCGGTGCATGCGCCTGGTCTAGCGACTCTGTGACACAGCAGTGGCAGAAGTCGAGCAGATCTCTGCACAGTCCCCATGATGTGCCCACGGAGGACCTGACATTGACCTCGGCATGATCCGCAGCACAGGTAATGGGGGTCATCCATATTTGTGGTTCTGGCTGGCTTGGGTTTGGAAGCCTTATGGAGCCGACTCACGGTCGACGCCATGCATCATGCAATGATTGGGCACGCACCGTATCAGCTTGCTGGGTCAACGACGAACGACGGACGACGGACGCCAGCGACGGCGACGGCGACCAGGACGACGACGACGTCGGACGACGGAGGATGTCGGACGGAGGACGGACGACGGACGATGGACGATGGACGACGACAACGACGGACGACGGACGACGAAGGACGACGACGTCCACGACGACGACCACGGGCGACGGAGGACGGACGACGGACGACGGACGGACGACGGACGGACGACGAACCCCACGACGACGAGGACGACAACGCCTACGAGGACGACGACCACGGACGACAGACGACGACGACGACGGACGACGGACGACGACGACGACGTCGGCGACGACGACGACGGACGACTGACGACGGAGAATGGACGACGGACGAGACGGACGACGACGACGGAGACGACGGCGGCGACGACGAAGACGACGACAATGACGACGACGGCCACGACGATGTCGACGACGGTCGACGGACGACGGACGACGACGGACGGACGACGGTCGACGACGCGACTACGACGGAGACGGCGACGCACGGACGAATGACGGACTACGGACCACGGACGACGGACGACGACGACGGGGACGACGGACGACGACGATGACGGACGACGGACGACGGACGGTGGATGGCGACGACGGACGACCACGACGACGACGACCACGACGACGACGACGGACAACGGACGACGTGCGCCAGCGACGGCGACGATCACTACGACGGACGACGACGACGGGTAACGACGACGACGACGACGACGGACGACAGAGTACGTGGGACGGAGGACGGACGACGGACGACGGCGATGGACGACGGACGACGGACGACGGTCTACGTCGATGACGACGACCACGGTCGACGCCATGCATCATGCAATGATCGAGCAAGCACCGTCTCAACTTGCTTGGTCAAGGGCGTATGGGCGGGTACTAGCCGAGGGGTTCGGCTTGCGTTACGTGCGACGCCTCTCTCTTCCAAGCCACTGTAGAAGAACGGTGATGTGGTCGATCACGGACGACGACAACGACGACGACGATGGACGAGCACGGACGTCGGACGACCACGGACGGCGGACGACGGACGACGGACGCCAGCGACGGCGACGGCGACCAGGATGACGACGACGACGGACGACAGGACGTGGGACGGAGGGTGGACAACGGACGACGGACGACTGACGATGGACGACGGACGACGGTCCACGACAACGACAGACGACCACGACGACGCCGGACGACGGAGGACTGACGACGGAGGACGGAGGACGGATGACGGACGACTGACGACGAACGACGAACGACGACGGACGCACGACGGACGACGACGATGACGACGACGGACGACGACGACAGCGACGGACCACGGACGACGGACGACGGGCGACGGACAGCGGACGGGCGACGGACGACGACGACGTCGACGGACGACGGACGACGGACGACGGCGACGCGACGACGACGACGACGATTTCGACGACGGATGGACGGACGACGAGGACGACGGACGACGGACGAGCGACGACGGACGACGGACGATGGACGATGGACGACCACGGACGGACGACGAAGACGGCGAGCGGCGGACACGACCACGACGGACACGACGACGACCACGACGATAACGACGACGAACGACGGAGGACGACGGACGGCGGCCGACGGACGGTCGAACGACGGGGACGACGCACGATGGCGACGGCGACCAGGCACGACGACGACGACGTCGGACGACGGAGGATGACGGGCGGAGGACGGACGACGGACGACGGATAACGACGGACGACGGACGACGTCCACGACGACGACCACGGACGACAGAGGACGGACGACGGACGACTGACGACGGACGACGGACGGACGACGACAGACGGACGGCTGACTTCGGAGGACGGACGAGGGACGACGGGCACCACGACGAGGACGAGGACGACGACGCCTACCAGGACGACGACCACGACGGGGAAGACGGACGACTGACGACGGACGACGGACGACGGACGACTGACGACGACGATGGCGACGACGACGGACGCCGGACGACGGACGACGGACGACGGACGACGGACGCCGATGACGAGGACCGCGACAGCGGCGACGACGAAGGCGACGACAACGATGACGACGACGGACGACGGACGTCGGACGACGGACGACCACGGACGGACGACGACGACGGACGACCACGACGGACGAACGAACGACTGACGACGGACGACGGACGACGGACGACCACGGACGGCGGACGGCGACGACGGACGACCACGACGACTACGACGACGACGAAGACCACGACGACGGACGACGGGGACGATGTGCGAAGGGCGCCGGCGACGGCGGCGTCGACCAGTACGACGACGTCGACGACGACGACGGACAACGACGACGGACGATGACGACGACGACGAGAACGACGACGACGACGACGACGACGACGGACGACGGAGGACGACGGATGATGGACGACGGGCGACGGACGACGGACGACGAACGACGGACAGCGGACTGTGGACGACGGACGACCACGACGGCGACGACGGCGACGACGACGACGGACGATGAAGGACCGACGACGACGAGGGTCGTGACAGACGACTGACGACTGACGACGGACGACGGACGAGGACGGACGACGGACGAAGACGACGGACGACGGACGACGACGAAGACGACGACGATGGACGACGGACGACCGACGACGGACGACGGACGACGGACGATTGGCGACGTGCGACAGACGGCGGACGACGGACGAACACGACCACGACGGCGATGACGAGGACGACGGCGGCGGCGACGGACGGCGGACGACGGACGAGGACGGACGACGGACGAAGGCGACGGACGACGGACGACGACGACCACGACGGCGGCGACGACGGACGACGGACGACGACGACCACGACGACAACGGACGGACGGACGACGACGGACGACGCACGATAGATTTTCGGACGGAGGACAGACGACGGACGACGGACGACCGCCCCTCGGCCTCAGCGTGCGCCCCCCTCGCGGGCGCGCGCCGGCGCGCGCCGGCGCTGGCGCGCGGGCGGGCGCGGAGCCGGCCCATGCTGAGGCGGGCGCCGCCGTCGACGGCGGCGGCGCCGGCGCCGACCACAGCCACGTCGTCGCCGGCGCTGGCGCCGTCGTCCTTCCTTTGGGTCGGGCCCGTCCCCCTACAGGAGGAGTATCCAAAAATTGTGAAGAAATAGTTAGGGAAAGAATAGTCTGGGAACTATGTTTGGATTTTTTGTCTATTTTTGGAAATTTTTGGACTATTTTTGATTTTTCCTCCAAAATCCCCCTGTAGGGGGACAGGCCCGACTTAATCCTCCCTCCTGCCTCCTCCTCCCTCTCCCTCCCTGCCTACTTCCTGCGTCGCCTCTGTCGCCCATCTCGGGGGCCTGCGCCTGCAGAGGAGGCGCTTCGGGGGTGTGCTGCAAGAGAGTGCTGTCCTGTCCCCTGTGGTACGATGTGGAGACCGGTGCAGGCGCCATTTGCAATCCCGGTTGGCGCTGGCCCCGCGCTGCTGCTGGCTTTCTAAGAAGCTATGATCTCCACTTCACCGAGTCATCCAGTCACTCGTGATGGGCCTGTTTTCCACCACCACCACCGCAAGTTGGAGGGGGGAAGGAGGTGGAGGATGATGACGATGAGGAGGAGGACGAGGAGGTGGAGGAGGAGGAAGAGGAGGAGGACGGCGACCCCTCCCCCTCCAACTTATGGTGGTGGTGGTGGAAAACAGGCCCACCAACTCGGCTCCGTCCCTGTCGATTCTGTTCCCTTCCCAAGGCCTGCGCCCCCGGAGAGACCCGCCCCCACCGTCGAGGTGAGGACGAGGGTGCTCTCGGAGCGAATATAATGTCTAAGCTTAAGTCGGGCCCGTTCCTCTACAGGAGGAATATTCAAAAATAGTTAAAAAATAGTCTGGGGACTATTTTTTGAGTATTATTTGACCCTTTTGGAGTATTTCTTTAGTATTTTTAAGGTTTCGTCGAAAATCCCTCTGTAGGGGAACACGCCCGACTTGAATATAATGTCTAAGCGAAGGAGGAGGCAGTCCAAGCGGTCACATCTTCTCTCTTTTGTTTTCGTGTGGTGATTTGAATGCACCCCAGAGCCGCCCCAGGGAGACTGCCACGAAACATCCTCTCTCCTCATCCTTCCCTCATCCCTGATCCCTCTTTCCTCCTCTCTTTTCCCCGTTGTGTCTATTGCCCTCCTCCCTCCACCTCATCTCTCCTTCACTCCTTCCCTCCGCCTCCCTCACCCAGCTTCCTGCCTCAAGAAGTGGTCGGAGGCCCAACTTGAAGAAGAGGGAACTCCTACAAATCCTGATTCCCTACCTAGGCTCTGCCTAGAAGCGTTATTATCGTGTTGGCTTAAAGGGCCAGGCGGTGAAAAACGCCCCGGGCGGTTCCCCCAGGATCCGCCCCGCGGTTCCCCCAGTCCCTTGGGAGCTTTAGCTTTAGCTTTAGCTTTAGCTTATTAGCGTTAACTTCGCTTTAGCTTAGCTTTAGCTTAGCTTTAGCTTAGCTTTAACTTAGCTTTAGCTTAGCTTTAACTTAGCTCTAGCTTATATTGACCTTTGCTTTAACTTAGCTTTAGCTTAGCTTTAGCCTAGCAACAGCTTTAGTTTAGCTTTAGCTTAGCTTTAGCTTAGCTTTAGCTTAACTTTAGCTTAGCTTTAGCTTAGCTTTAGCTTAGCTTCATCTTAGCTTTAGCTTAGCTTTCCCTGAGCTTTAGCTTAG